GGTGGTTCTAGTGGAAAAACATCGTGGCTCACGATGTTTCGAAATCCTGGTCGGGTTGACCAGGAACTACGGGTTCGGCCATAAAAAAAGGTCTAGCAGGTAATCAGCCGGTGGTCGCCCCGGATTTTCGCTCGAGTCTGCGGAACGAGTCGGCGGGCCCTTCTGATGTCCCCGTGCTTTTACATGGGCTTCCCTACACTTTCAATTTTTTACTACGATACTGTAGGCTCCGCCGGGGCATCTCTCGAGTCAAAAATTTCACCCCCTACCACGTAGTATTCTGACTACGGTTACAGTAATGGGAACAGACCTTAAGTCGGAGGGATCCGCATGTGTAACATGCCCCTCCGCACGTAATGCATATTCGGAGATGATTGTTCGGAGGAATTAGCGGTCAACTAATTCCTCAAAATTAGTACATAATTACATGTTCGCGAGAATTTTTAATTTAAACGGTCCGTTATAATTGTTGTTGTCAATGTTCGCGGATTAAGAAGTCGTGATCGATTTCTTATGTACCACGAGCGGTGACTCATACGGGCGTGTATACGCCCGGAGCATGAGTGCGAGAGAGTAGCGTATAGTTTAGACAAAGAGCCGCTTATCAGCAATAATACGCGTACAGCGGTTTCTTATTATTCCTTACCGGTATGTCGACCGAAGAGCGTTGATACTTCGAATTCAGAGAAATTTCTGACAATTTACTTTTAATCCGCTTATCACCGTGCAGACGTCGTCTGTGATACGGATTAAAATCAGCTGTAAGCTGCACAGGGAGTTCCCTAAACCGAATTTGTAATAATTCGGCATTTTTCATGCTATTTCTAGGATAGCTACTCTCTCGTAATCTAACACGCAATTTTACGACGGTCAAGCCTGCATTGCTCGTCTAGGGGATATTCGTGCAGCGGAAGTATTTCCGCTGACGAATTCTAAGTTCCGAAAGCGCCAAATTAAGACGTCGAGTTATTCCGTCCTTTCGCGCAGGGAATTCCAGTTTGTCGTGAGACTGAGGTAGCTCAGCCGGTCTGTCTTTCGATTTTAATTTGACGACGTTTGACCGGAGACGCAGTTCTCTCACGGTTATTCTTTTCCCCAATTGATTCTCGAAGGTGTTTCCTTCGGAGAGAATCACTCGATTGTTTTCAGCACTTGGATCGAGTTCGCACTCCTTACGAGTCCGTACTTTGGAAGTCGGATCTCTTTGCGAGACGTCGTGTAAGGAGCAGCTTCTTCGCGCGGGTCGTTACCGCTGATGCCCGCTCTACAATCTCTATTGTATCTGGGTTAAGATTAGTGCCAAGAGGTACATACGTCCTGTGTGACGTCCTACCGGCTATCATTCTGTGGGCAGTCGTACAACCAGGCGTCCGTATGGACGTAATGTTGTAATTAACGGCTCGTCGGTCAAGCGGTTTTAACGCCGTAATACCGAATTCCCACGATAAGGAATTGGATAGTTACCTTTACCTAGTTACAGAGACAGAGCGAGGTATAGGCCTTGATAATTAGTGTTGCTGATATGCAGATCAAGATTACCTTGTATAAATCTGCATCCCTGATATTTGTGAATTGACATAACGTTGGTTGGATATATCGGGTAATTGTGAACTTTTGCGGCTCACGTTTAAAACTTTCACCATCTCCTCTTTATGCCTGTCAGGCATAACTTCCAGCTTATTGGTCATTCCCACGATTTTTTCTTCTCCAGAATCTCTTCTGAGCTTTATCCTTTGATCCGATTCGTTGATGCTAACCAAGGTGGCTTGCGAAAATTCCGAATGCTCATCCACATAGTATTTGGATTCGCAACACAACGGCAAATATGGAAGAAATTTTATGGGTCCACCTGATTTCCATAATTCCCAATACTTTGTAGAATAGATTGAGCATGGAATATTTTCTTTGAACATTATTTCGTTCACGGCTAGACTCACTTCGCGGTTAGTAGCGGCTAAATGAATATCCGAATATTTCGATTTTCCACGCAGTTGATATGGGAATAAAACAGCTAACAAAGCAAATCCAAAGTTGTCGCTAGAGAACTGCGCAACATAGTTGATTATCTCATTGTATCGCGCATCCACCACGTAGTTTATGGAAAGATGGAATACTTTGCCTGCGAATCTATCGGCTATATCGAACGAAGAGCATTCAGCATGAAACGATTTTTTAATAGACTGCAACTGATTCTTATCTCCACATATTATTGTTCCAA